TCATGTATGATTCAATAAGAACAAATTCAATGGACTTCGAGTAAGGTATTGAAAATCTTGAATCATTATGTTTGGTATTGAAGCACCAATGCTGTGGGACTGTTCTTGTCTTTGACTTGAACAATCACGAAATGGATGAGTGATAGTAATACAGATTAGTAGACAGCAAAGGTAGTTTTAGTTATGTATATAAAATAATTATGTGCATATTATATGTTTAACTACGACAGTAGTTATTTAGTCATTTAGTCGGTTATTTCAGTAATGTATATGTATGAATACTTTGTGTTTGTACAAAATAGTTTGCTAGGTAGCTATTAAGACAATTATGATTTAATAACTGCCAAGATGGTTGTCAACTAAATTGTTACTAAAATGGAGAATGGAAATGGAAAAATGTATTTGCCGACGTCTCTGAAATGTAGCTGTTTGGCTTCAGAGCTAATAAACATGTTGTTGAAGATCTTCGTTTGAAAGGCACGAATTAAATTATATGTACAGAAATCGAGATATCAAATACAGAAATGACATTTTCATGTTAAATCAGTTTCAAAGATTTGTCACGAGTCAATAACATATGTTAAGATATTTATTTCTCATTCGGGGCTAGCAAACTAAATTTCTCAGAATACAACACGTTTTTGCCTCTAAATTTATAGGATTAACAGCATACATTTGTTTCATTTTTTATTTGTTCACATAGACAGATTGAACTACTTTTTATTATTGGCATGTCTGACATGTAATTGATCTCGAAGGATAATGTGTCTATGTTAAATAAGCAACACAGTCTAGTGTTTTAAAACTTTTTTTTTACTTTTAATTGGAGTGCTATACATAGAGTAATTTATATTTCGCCTTAGTTGCGTTTGCAACAGATTTATTCATTTTGTGCATTATTTGTAATGAACACCATACATACATATTAGTAATTGTACGGGTCAATTATAATTCGAAACACTTAAATTCTTTCCTCAAATATATAAATACTATATCATATGTGTGAAAAAAACTATAAATAAAACCTTTATCTGTTAAATATAGATTGTACTTTGCTGAGATAATTGAAATTTGGTGATGATTATCGGTTCTTTTATTGGTTTTTTGTATCCATCGTATTAAATAAGGACTTGGATAGACATTACTTTTACTTGATTAAGGATGTTCGCTACCCTGTTTCAAAATAACAAGCTTTTTAAAAGACTGTTATAAATTGATAGTATATAAATAAAGAAACTAAAAAAGCAGAAAAAAATGAAGGGTCCGTGTGCTTGTTTTCGAGATATAAGCCATTGAAAATTTGGCGGGAAATAATTCTCTCTAGATTTTTCATACATTTAACATTGGCACCTTTTTTCTTTCAAAAACAATGAAAAAATAACAAGGATTTTAAAAGATTTTCAAAGATGACATTTCAAACTATACGTTATCAAATTATGGAAAGAAAAGTAGGGGTAAGTGGGCAAAATTTTTAATGGCACTTCATGGATAAAACTAGAGGATTCCGAATATCTGGCAAAAATTCAAAAACAAGAGGAGCGAACATCCTTAAGCAAGAAAGATAGTAATGGATATACAAAATACATATCATTATAATAAGACTTTGAAATACTATAGATAACAGTAGTTTGCAACATTTCTTGTCTGTGTATTCAAATATATCATACCCGTTAGGGTAATCTTTACAAAAATTACCGGGTATATAATTTTAATGCATTGATATACTATTGAAGATCTAACATCATTATGTTTGGCATTGGGAAACCAATGTATGGGGGTTGTTGATTACAGATATTACGATACTATGAATATTTTAGAAGCAGGAATGGTTATTATATTAAAAATGTAGGTGTTGCAGACACCGTTAAGTTGAATCTGTAGAATCGTTTAATCAGTTGGTTTTGTTCCTAAAAGTAGTTTATAGTCCCTGGAGTAAGCTGTTTCACTTCAGAGCTAATAAACAGGTGATTGAAGATCTTTGTTTTAAAAATATGAACAAAAGAAATGGCGGGTGTTCGTGAATATTTATAGAACACATCATGGAAACAAAACAAAAAGATATTTTAGGTAAACATACGTCTTATCATATTGTCCATCCAATATGTCAGACCTTATTGGTTCAATTAGTGCTAGAGGATAAAAACTTATCAATTTATTACGAAAACAGAAAAATCTAATTTTATCATCTGAATAAATATGTTCAAAGATGATCATTAATAGTTTTGTTAATGACTTACTCACATTAAAAGATTGCACGACCTTATATTGTCTAACATTAAATTCATCTTGGAAGGGCATCTGTCTGATTTTTTCTTTTAATATTGTTTTTTTTTAATTCTTAGAATCGCTAAAAATCCAACTGTCTTTTGAAACAATTATTGATACAGGATTTGCTATAATGAGTGTGGAGTCTTTGAATATCGTTTGTCACTCATTGCATTGTAGTTAAGACTTTCATAAATGATGATGGGTCGCTGACTTATTTACGGATACGCCACATCCCCGTATTTAACAGAGACGTTGCGCACGATGTTGGTACGAATTCCATTTTGCTATAGATTAGCATGAAAATAAATACGTAGAATGGTCAGTTTGATAAAAATATAGTGATTTTTGGTTGAAATTATTACATTAGACTTAAAAAAAAGGAACCGAAATTTAAAATATCAAGAATTATAACACTTAATTATCCCATTTTTACGCAAAAACGTAATGTCCAACGTTACATTTTGTGTGCAAAAGATCGGAGTTCCGTTTCTTTCCTACAGTATTTTTTCTGACCATCGTAAAACTTCACAAGAGTATTGCTATCGTTCTGGTTATTCACGTGTTAAAGCAAAATCAATATCACTGAAACCGTAAACCGGAAAATGTTATTTTTGAAAACGGTCTGAAAAATGTCCAAGCATATGCAAGGTAAGCATATATCGGGTTTGTGCATTTATACCGTGAAATTGGAAAAGCTAAGAGGAAAAATATTTATGATATTTTGAATGTTTTTTTACTTTTCTCCTGGTTCATGATATTTTTTGCCGGAAACCATGCGTATTGTTTTTATTGCTATGACTTCAAAAAGTATAGCCATCTTTTCCCAACGAAATACACGCTGTTTTTCTTTACAATTGATGTTTTTACCGGCTGTATATTAAGGATGTTCGCTCCTCTTGTTTTTGAGTTTTTGCCAGATATTCGGAATCCTCTGGTTTCATCCATGTGGTACCATTAAAAAATTTTGTCCACTAACCCCTACTTTTCTTTTCATAATTTAATTAAATATAGTCTAAAATGCCATCTTTGAAAATCTTATTAAATCCTTGTTATTTTTTCATACTTTTTGACAGATAAAAGGTGCCAATGTTAAATGTATGAAAAATCTAGAGAGAATCATTTCCCGCCAAATTTTCAATGCCTTATATCTCGAAAACAAGCACATGGACCCTTCATTTTTTTATGCTTTTATAGTTCCTTTATTTATATACTATCAATTTATAATAGTTTTTTTAAAAGCTTGTTATTTTGAAATAGAGTAGCGAACATCCTTAAATAAGCACAGTTAGATCCAAGAAAATAAAACTTGGCGGTAAAAGTTTTTTTCTTTTTCTTTTTAAACAATATAGTGTTTAACATTTTTTCGATAGATAGCAAGATGTTTATATCGTTTCAAAAAGTATAGCCGTTTTGTCCCAACGTTCGCAAAACGTAATTGATGTCATGCTCGGGTTTTTACTTTTATATCATAATTATTTGTTTCCAGTTTAATTCGAATGAAAATAAAAATATAAGTTATAATATAACAAATGTAGGATAAAGGAAAAGTTTAAGTTTAAATTCAAATGTTAACCAAATGAGATTGATATAAAAAATATCGGGATCTTAGTTTTTTTTCAGCACATTCATGACATTCGTTTTATTCAAGGAACGTTGTCTATCTGCAAGTTTTGAATCATCAAAAGCAAAATGCATAATTTTTTTGTTAATACAATAAAATAGAGAAAAACCATTGCTGGCTATTATAACAAAACAAAGGATATGCATAATGCCACAAAAATACGTAAATGAGAAAAACATGAATCTAAAATGTTCAACTACCTAGAAATTTTGCGACAAAGAAAGCACCGGGAAATGATAAAATATAGAAAGGAAACGGAAACGGAAAGAAATGCAACAAAAGGAGTATGTATAAACATGCATTAAAAGGGAAAATAAAATCAAAATCTAATTTATATAAAAAGAAATCTGTATAGATTTGGAAATTAATGTATGATTCATTAATGCGAACTGCTGCCAAAAGTAAAATGATCAATTATGGCCTGGAAAGACTGACAACTCCTATAAATGAATATTCATTAAAAAATATGTGTACGAACACTTTGAGTTTTATTTGTTAAACTATGCATTTTCATACAAACCGAAATCGGTTACCAAATTCACAACAGTAAATTGACATCATCTATTATAAGCTTGAACGCTTGAAACGTTCTTTGAAATCGTCGAAATCGCTTCATTATGCGGAACGTCGTTTAACGCTAAGTAGTACCAACATCGTGCGCAACGTCAAAGCGAGATCGTATCTAGCTATAAAACGGAACTTCGAATGCCTATGTCAAAAAATAAAAATGTCAACTAATAGAAATAGATTAAAGACTTCCATGAAAAATTCGAAATGGAAGTCTTTTTTCAAATGCCAAAATCAAAAGCTTAAACACATAAAACGAAGGAAAAATAACTGTCATATTCCTGACTTGGTACACGCATTTCCTTACGTATAACATGGTGAATTAAACCTTATTTTATAGCTAGCTAAATCTCTCACCATTCACATCTTAATGTCAAACAACAAGTTCGTGTGGAAATGTGAATAGTTTTATTCAACAAGAACTTTATTTGCTAAACATATTGAAAAGCAAATTCTTAGCATAATACAGTTTACTGCTTTATCATTTAGAAAAAAAGGTAAATCAAATAGAAGATATGTTACAAAAATACATAAACAGTGAACACAAGATATGTTAAATAACCTTCAAAAATAACAAAGCGGTGACCTCAATATTCATTTTTTAATATATTGTTACCAATCCGATAAAAAAAAATTAAGCAACATGTCATCATATTTTTTTTATCACTAACAATAACTATGTTAATCTATTGCGTTAAATCATTCAACGACAGGACTGCCATTTACATCTCCCACGTGTGTTCTTTGAACAAATAGCATTTGTTGAGCATCCCCGAGTGGCACGCCCACAACGCAGTCGTCCTCTTCGTGTGTCATCGTCCCACATGTAAGGTATCTGTACAGAAAAACAAAATTAGATGTTACATAGAGCTAACACGGTTTACAATCTGCAATGTCATATTTTATGATAGAGTCTTCAGGAAAGATACTTCATTTTATTTTCATATCACTTTAAATAATATCTACCACCCGAATCTTTACAATGGCCACACAATGCATACATGTGTATATCTATACTACAAAAATAACGAGGTCTAATTGTTAGCCGGCATGACGTAAAAACGACGAATCAAAGAATTCAACTTTATATATAACTAATATAGGACAGTGGTGTTGTTTAAAAATTATACCAATAATTAACAAGTTCCGGGTCGAATCCGATACCGATACCAATAGAATATATACCATGTAGTTTCCGGTTGTTGTTTTCATGTTACCTTCTGTAAATCCCTCCTCTATCAAGAGAACCTGGTATTCTTCAAATAGTTGTTTTATATCTAAGTTACACTAAAGTACACTATTTAACAAGTCGGTTTTCTTCCACCTCAATACCAAGATTAATTTTAGAAAACAAATTGTATTTAGTTTGTAGTACGTGTATTGTAGTAAAAAAACAGGACGGGTTCAAACAGAGAGATTTTGAAAGCAGAGAAATCTGTTCACCTTATAATCAGCATGACTTTATGAGATGACAATACGAATACTATAAATTCAGGCTAAAAAATAAAGACATAGGTACTTTGATTCAAACGCGGGCACGCGATGTCGTGGGTGTGTTCTAATATATTATCATATATAGGAACATATGTCGCGTCAATATTTATGTGACTTCCTGACCTTGACTTGAAAAGTAAAGATAAAGTCATTTATAATATATTATCAGCCATCTGTGACGATATCGATATCAGTCAAGGTTGCTGAGAATTTATCAACCCTAACAGAAAACAACCGTAATGATATTAATATCAGTTAGTTAAGCTCTAATATTAAAACCTGTGTTTAAGGTACATTTACTAGTATATAATAAAGAGTGTATTATATGATATTTCAAATATCACAAACTGCAACAACCTTTAACCAATACAATCCTACGAGCAGAGCTCTTGGGAAATCTATTAGTTCTATTTTTTAATACGGAGATGATATTGAAAAGGTCATTTTAAATCATTTGTTAGTATCTTATTATAATACAGTTTTGTACTGTGAATGTAGTGGTCAAGTCGCCAACTCAATGTAAATTGATTGTATTATTTTTATTTTTTGTTTTGGTTATTTTCATCAATGGTTGTAAGAGCAATACAATTTCAAACCTTAATATGCTGTACAAATATGAATTTTATTCTCCTAAAAATCTGGTTTTTGATATACTTATAAACATACACGCAACTTTATTTCCTTTCTAAAAGTAAGGAAATGTGTTGCAAAGCAGGCATTGAATTTATAAAACTTGGGACACATCTACAGTGTATATTCATTTGAAAAAAAAATTGTTCACGCCAATTTCTTTCGAAAATGCATGCACCACGCCAGGAATATCTGAGTTGTATTTGTGATCTCTGTAGTTGAAGATTCCAGTTTGTAAGTTAGATTTCTGTTTAAATGTATTTGAACCTTGTTTTAATTGATAATTTTTATGTTTACATATTTTTGTTGTCAAATAATGTTATTTTCATTGGCGTATTAAGTGTAAAAACCTTAATGATGTTCGTTTCTCAGTTTCAAAACAACAAGCTTTTTAAAAGACTGCTATACATTAATAGTATGTATGTAACGGAACTTAAAAAGCAGAAACAAACAGGACAGGATCGTGTCTTTGTGTTTTGTTTTTTTTTTTTTTTTGTTGTTGTTGTTGTTTTTTTTTTTATTTATAAATCAGTTGAAAGTTGGATGGAAAATGATGCTCTCTAAATCGGTAATACCTCTAAACAACAGAATCTTTTTTTTTTCGATAACTATGGGGAAAAAAACAAGGATTTTAGCAGTTATAAAAAGAAATTTTTAAGCTATAAGTAATAAATTGATGGAAAAAAATTAGAGGGTTTGCAGTGCCAAATTTGTTTTGGTACTACATGGATAAACTAGTGGATTCCGTATATATCTAAAAAAAGTCAAAAAGAAGAGTAGCGAACATCCTTAATATAATTAACATTTTCTAGTATATTACCTTGCAGTCACAGTTACTGAAATATCCCCCTGAGAGGCCTCTCATCAATGTTAAGCTTATTTCGTTTTCTTCGGCAACAAGGTCGCAAAAGTTTATATTCATCGGTGCACCATCAAAGGAGTTCGCTGTAACATTAACAAAACATGTAAAAGTTTTCATCGAGTAGAAAGGTAGAAAGCAAGATGTGTTTATTCAAATAAAAGACGATGCATACTGATTATGTAATATTCAAACAAAACTGTTGTTCTTCAGCCTGTCTTAAGGAAATATCCGTTATAATTTTGAAAAAAAAAAATCAAAAATCGACAGTATTTAAATTCTAATTGCCAAAGGATCACCGAAAAAGTACTCATCTTTGAAATTGGCATTTCTAGATGAATCTTTTTCATAAAAAAAAATAATAATGCTTCTTTGTATTTTAGTAAATCCTTTTTTAAAGATGCTTTCCATATTCAAATAATATCAAAGTAAGGAGATGTGATATGATTGTCAATGATGCAACTGTCAATCAGAGTTCAAATGACGAAGACATAAGCAATAATAGGTCACCATAAGGCCTTGAACAATGAGAAAAATCCATACTGTTCTATTTAGAATATATTGTTAATAATGATATCAGGGTTTTGTGAAGGACAGGAACCAGTTCACATGTGGATCAAGCTTAAGGGTACGGATAACCTTTACAAATTCTTTAAAAAAACAATGACGGTATGAAATGTCTTTTCCTTGGTTATAAAGTTAATCGTATGTCGTATACGTGGAGCAGAGGATCATTTAACCGTTACCATTCCTTAATATTGTTCGAACTGTACTCCATGACATTTTTTTTACAAAAGGAATAAGTCTTTTAAGTGGTTGTATATTTGTTTGACGTTTTTTTTTTTTACATTCCTTTAAAGTTTACAATTTCAGGATATTAATTTTTTCGAACTCGAACTAGCACTTCAATTTTCAAAATAAACCTCTTTATCAATTTTCTAAACTAACCTGTCATTATATATATTTTCCCAGTGTCAAGAGTTATTGGCCCACACTTCGAAGACTCCATTGGTGTTGTAAGTATTCGGTTGTTTGACAAACTATCTAGTACATCCTCTCCCTGTAATTAAATATGCCAACAATCAGCCATTAAAATTTATTGGATATATTATAATTTGATTGATTAATTGTTATTCGTTTGACGTTCAGTGGCAAATATTTCATGCATATTCATGAAAAAACAAATGAACAATTAATACAATAGGTGAGTTTTGAACGGTGAGTCGATCTTGAAGAAGGGCGGGAAACTTGACTTGGTTCTTTTGAGATTAGTCATAAAGTAAGGAAGTAAGTAATCAATTAGATAATGGTTTGCACAGATGTACAAAATAAAAAAAAACTATAAAATCGGATGAGCTCTTAAGGGTTTACCATCAATGACTACAATGTCGGTAAAAGATTAAAGGCACAGATCATTCATTGTTTGTGCGGTGGTGGGGGAGGGGGTGCATTATTTTTCGTTAGACGAACACTTTTTCAATTTAATTAAGGATGTTTGCTACTCTGTTTCAAAATAACAAGTTTTTTAAAAGACTGTTAAACATTGATAGTATACATATATATATATATATATATATATGAGTCTAAAAGATTGTGTAACAATACCGATAAATAGATTGAAAACAAAACACTAAAAAGTGTTGAATATCATCGCACAAAGATGGAAAAACTGAACAGATGATATAAATTAATCATCTGTTCAGTTTTTCCATCTTTGTGGGATGATATTCAACACTTTTAGTGTTTTGTTTTCCATCTATTTATCGGTATTGTTACACAATCTTTTAGACTCATATAATTTTCCCTGTTTGTGTAGTATTGTCAACTTTGATGATCCAATACCTATTAAGTTTACTGGTTGGTAGATTCTTATAGAGTCTATATATATAGTCAAATGCGTTTTGTTAAAATATACTTTTTCACTTTTTTGGTCTTTTGGAAAATGTTGTTTGTGCTGTATTTAGACCCCTCTATCAAGAAATTTGTTTTGCATGCACACGTATAAAAATTGCGGTTTTTATCTAACGCAATCATAGGTTTGAACGTCGTTTTCAATTTAGACTTGTTTATATTTTTTCGTTTGGGCTTGTATTATATTTTCCTTCGGGTTTATATGATCCGTTCATCCTATTTCGACTCTTTAAAATTCAAGAGTCTATCCTAAATTGAGGTAAATTTTATGGCCTTCCAAATACTGTTTCGATCCCTAACATCACTGAAGAGACATTAATTGTCGAAATCCGGATATGGTGTACTAATTTTTGCACCTTTTGTTTGCGGTATACCATCTTTTCCGCAAGTTTATTGTTTTCTGTTTGGTATTAGATATTAATCTTTAAATATCCATTTTGTTACATCTTGTGATCCGTTTATTTGGCAATCGCCAATGGCAGTCAGCAGGGTTTAAGAACATCAGTTGTTCGACCTGTTAGTCAAATGCGTTTTGTTAAAATATACTTTTTCACTTTTTTGGTCTTTTGGAAAATGTTGTTTGTGCTGTATTTAGACCCCTCTACCAAGAAATTTGTTTTGCATGCACACGTATAAAAATTGCGGTTTATATATATATATATATATATATATATATATATATATACAAGTCTAAATTGAAAACAATTATATATATATATAAGAGAATTGAAAAAAATCAAAATGGCTTTTTGAAGAAAAGAGGCGAAAATACCAAAGGGAAATTTAAACTCATTAGTCGAAAATAAACTGACAATGCCATGGCTAAAAACGAAAACGATGAAAAAACAAACAGTACCAAAATCCCAACAACGTAAATTTAAGAGTAACATGATCCCCACCAAAAACCAGGGGTAATTTCAGGTGCTCCGGAAACGTATATGTTATAAAACTAGAACATGAATAACTGACAAAAAGTCAAAAACAAGACTTGTGAACATCTTTAAAACAAAACTTTTGTTTTCAATAACATACATATTATATGTCGAAGTCATTTTTCCTTTACATTTCATTTTTTTTTATTTATCTTCTGAAGCAATTTTTTGTTTTCAAGTAATTTAGAAACACACGATTAAATAAAATAAAATATGAATGGTCGAACCCCATATGGAATTTATTGACCCCATATATATATCGTATTAGGTCACTACCACACTGTGTAACGAATTATCTTACCGACTATCTTAACATGTGGAATTTAGACTAGTGGCCTATCAAAGTGATCAAGTCTTCAATATAAAGAACTTACTTCCATTGGTATATACAAAAACAAATGCCAACAATAACAGCTTGTTTGCTTCTAATGTGTTATCTGCATTTATTTCAATCGTTCATCATCAATTTCTTTTTTATAAAAACCTTTCAGATTTTTTTTCAACGCCGTGTTGTTTTTATAAACGGACGTTACACGTATTAGAATAAGCCCGGCCTACTAACCCCATATGAAATATACACGGTTTCAACGCGGTAGCTTTTAACAAATGATATTCCTAGAAAAGTATAGGAGGTAAGGTAAAAAGATATGAGGGGTATATATGAGGGTCTTGATGAGAAGGTCTCTCGTTTATGTATAATTCTTCAGTTTAATGTGATATGTCACTTTTCTATATTCTTACTTTTTGTCCGTTATTCTCTATTATTTACATTTCAGCACTCCATTATTCTCTATTATTTACATTTCAGCACTCCATTATTCTCTATTATTTACATTTCAGCACTCCATTATTCTCTATTCTTTATGTTTTGTTTGCCTGTTTTTCTCTATTCTATACTTTTTACCCCTTTATTCTGCAAGTTTTGTCGAGTATTCTCTATTCTGTTATTCCCATCCAGACCCTCGTCTATTTAAGTAGTACTGAATCAAATATTTACTGTATTGTGACAAAATGATTCCTTAATCTAAGCATGTAATGAATAATAATGTAATGAATGAAGAAAGAAAGTAGCTTCCTCCATAGGGAGTATATATCCTAAGTAGCTTAAATTTTTCGTCAATGTAATCAGCTGCAAAAATACGGAGGAGATGTACACCGATATAATTTTGAATTGATTTTCAGTTATGTTGCTACAAAATGAAGACCGAGGATATTCCTTCGTCAGTAATATTTGAGTGTTTAAAATAAATCAACTTATTTCCAAACTATTGATGGATGGATGGCTGCAAAACGTCCATTGACAAATTGATATGCATGTTCAGGATTGGGGAATATGTTAATGTAATATGAATATTAGCCTTGTTTTGTATTAGATCGACACGCTGAACCGGATTTATAACGTGCTAGTTCACAAGGTAATAATCCGCAGGAAGACATGTCACCTTACCCGGACACATTGTTGTGACTTCGAGCCGAACAGTATTTGATCTTACTCCTTAATGCTGCGTGCTTAGCGGAGAAGCAGCAAATACCAATTTTAAAGTCTTCGGTTGACCCGGTCGGGTTCGAATCCACGACCTCTTGCACTCAAGGCGAACATGCTACTACGAGACGACCGAGGCGGTACAAACTATTGGCAGAGTACATTGTATAACAAGTGTTATTTTTAATCAATCAAATGAAATAGAGAGACAGCAATCTGACTGAACCCCCCACCCCCGCGTACAGTAAATATTTAATGGACACAAATTGTATTTTCACTTCTCTTCTGAAAGAAATTTTTTTCTCATTAAATTTTAGAATAAAATAATTTATTTACCCCCTCCCCCTCATTACACACACACAACACATCAGTGGTCGGTGCCTAATGTAGAATTCATTTAGTTACATCATTCAGTGAAAACTGTTGAATTAACAGAAATCTAAAGAAGAGCAATGACTTGATGTATTCACTTTTGTATCTTTCTGTTTAAAATAAACTGTTATAAAATATCTTCACTCCATTTAGAGTTGAGGTACCTAGTCTCCCCAACTGATATTAGATTATAACAATAGAAGACACAAATACCGTAATGTTTTGAATAACGTGATACCTGCATTTACTTATAGCGATATATAGTAAACATCAATGAGACAGTAACTCAACAACACAAAACAATCCCCCCCCCCCAAAAAAAAAAAAAAAGAAATGTGGAGGTCATTAATGATAAACAACAATCTATCTGTTATATATATAAAGTTCTAAATTCACCTTGTCTGGAGAAGGTGCGATGCATACAATGATTTTTAACAAACACTTGTCAAATAGTAAGATATACATTAAGACAACAATTGGCAAAGTCTCTGAGTGGAACAAGCTTAAAAACAGTAGAGAATAAAACAATACACATCCAATATGTTTTTTTGTTTGCCATATTATACGTCAATATAAAATAAAAAGATGTTTGTATGGTTTTCAATTCAACAAACACCAAAGAACAAGGATAAACTTGAATATAAGTCAATATTGATCCTTTGATATATAGATATCTATGAAAGGATCTTAACTATTGTAAATCAATTAGTAGAGAAAATTAACCGCCTGATTATGGAAAAAAAAACAAGTATGACTGACGGCAAACAAAGACAATAACTACATACACATCAGCGGTTCTTTTCACACACACAAAAAAAGACTTAAGAGTAAAAATACTCGTAAGTTATACACATTTCAGTATAACTTGCGATCAATTCTAATTGTAAGAATTTTTGTGAAAAGAGTCGCTGGTTTCCGGATTGAACTAGGCGCATTAATAAGTTGCCGGGTTTGACATTTGTGTACGCAGTAAGCGTTCAACCTTCCCCTAATCTGGTTTAACAAATCGTCGTGTGAATCTTGTAGTGTCCTCTTTTGATAATGCTTTATTTATCTAAAATGCTTGTCTATTTAAAAAAAAAAAAAAAAACAACAACAAAAAAAACAACAAATCGAACAAAACTTATTCTTCATGTGCGTAAATTCGATTCCTATATAACTTTTTATGTCTCAGTCAAATATTTAGGATATTGCGCTTTTAAACTTAAATTAAAAATTCTACCACTATTACCAAATGGGAAATACATCATGAAGATTCAAACGACGAAGTCTAGATCAAAATCAAAACAAACTGTCAAAATCAGTTGATTTGACTCCTTAGATCAGTGTTAAGAACAAAAGCAACAAACAAAATAACACATTAAAACGAACTAAGAGTAATTGATATAAGTGAAAGCTTGTTAAAAGCCATAGTATTATCATATAGCCCTATTTCAAAAAATGAACCATGTTTACCAGACTCACTTATTTGTTCGTACACCTTCAACGAATTAAGTTTTACAAAAGTATCACATGCAGCAATAAGAAAAACGGATATTTCTTAAGAAATAGGTGATAATAAGGCCGGACTCCCGTTTGTGTTACACAACGCAACGCTTAAATTGGGGGTGGGGGGTAGGACCTTTATCGGGACTCCGGGATCGGGTGTTTTTAAGCTCGGGATTTCGGGATTGATCCTTTCGGGATCCGGGAATTCTTTTTTCGAATTTCGGGATGTCCGGATTTAATTTTTTTTAAATTCGGGACCTCGGGATTCCATGTTTTTAAATTCGGGACCTCGGGATTCTATGTTTTTAAGCCCGGGATTTCGGGATCAGGACCCCTCCTAACCCCCTTTAAATCTAACCTTTTTTAAAAGATGACTGATCCGCTTCTGAACGCATGTGTAGAATTATATTGTTGGAATGAATGCTTTATTTTGTTTTCAATTTTAATAACATTAAGGGTGCCAATTTTATTGCATCCGATGCGCATTTCGATAAGTAATGTCTCTTCAGCGATGGTTGAGGCAAATATATTTGAAATTAAAAAAAACCTTATACAAATGTTGAAGAGCCAATAAGACCAAAATGGACCAAAAGTGAATCAGAACTCCATCAAAGAATCAGCACTTAGCATGCGTGATATACATTCCTTAATCTAAAATGATTTCGATATTTTATGACAACAAATTTAAATAGAACAATACCCGTTTTTTCATGCCAGTACCGAAGTACTGGTATGCTATATTAAGCAACTGTAATAAAACAGTACAGACTGCATAAAGGAGGATGTGGATTGGGGTCTACAGGATAGAGATAAATGGGCGAAAAATGTACCGAAAAAATAAAGAATAGAGAATAATGAGGGGCCTGATGAGGGGGTGTCTCATCACGATTCACGAGTTGATTTTTTTGTCAATCACGATTCACAGAAAATAAATTTCCATGATCACGGATCACGAAAATATAAAAAAAAAAATCTACAGAAAAATAGATCACGATAGCGAAAAAGCGCCGATCACGAAGAACGAAAATAACCCATCAGGCCCCTCAATAATGGGGTGCTAAAATATAAAAAGAGAGAATAATTGGCAAAAAGTATTAAGAATAGAGAAAAATGGCCTAAAATGTTAAAGAATGCAAAAATGAAGGACCCCCTTCCCATTCCAGGCCCTAATAAAGTGAAGACATACTGTAAATATTTTTACCTTATAGATTGTATCAATAGAAATGTTGAATTCTCCAATATGTTCATCTTGATCCTCTATTCTCGCTTTCATAACTGTAAAATATAAAACAGAAGGTTATCATGATTCGTTATCAATGTGGTTTTGACCACAAACCGCGCTGCACATATTTTATGTCGCGCAAATATTGCTGTTCTCTATGTCAAAGTCACAGTGAGGCCTTTGATATGGAGCAAAAACACTCTCACTTCACTGAAGTTTCAGACGTCCCCTAGCACCGCTTTGAGTGGAATTCTTTGCAATCTGATTATCACGCCACAATTGTGTGTTAACTTTACAAGTTTAATTTCGGAAGCCAAGGTTGACAATGTCTTTTCGAGGGGTAACAATCTGCTTTCATCCTCTCAGATATGTGTTATTTAATTTATTATACTAAATGTTCTGTTATTACTGTCGATTAAATTTCAAATTCAAAGTAATAAACTATGACGTCTTGTACATAACAACCATCCGTATTTAATAAAGCGCACACTTGATCAAGCGTCTCCGTGAAGGGTAATAGAGTATTTGCCATATGACAGAGTCGTATTTAATAAAGAGCACACTTGATCAAGCGTCTCCGTTCAGGGTAATAGAGTATTTACCATAGAATAGAGTAAATTAACACCCTCGTATAAGCCAATCAAAATATTGCATTTTTACGTGAAGTATAATAAATTCAAGCGGTATTCTTGCAAAATTGCCCATGGAAATGAAAATAGAAAGAAAGATGGTACTATTTTATGCGCAAGTATTTCCGATATTTTGCGACAGACATCTTATAGTTTCCCATAGAAATATTTCATATATGGTTTCCCATCAAAATAAATTGACGACGACTTTAGTCAGCTGCATATGTTATCGGCCAATGGGCAATAACAAATTTTCTTATTTTAACTTTTTAATAAATATCTTGCAAAATATGTAGGCATATGATCCTTTGTTTTTCTGTTATATTAATGCTAACAATATTATTGATCAAACATTTTTATTTCAAAGAGGCATATCAGCTTTTGAGATATAAACTTTAAAAAAAAGTTCAATATACATTGCATTTCAAAGAGACATACCTCCTCTAAAAATAATACAGCATGCAGCACTGATTTTCGAACTCACACCAGACATTGCTTAGATAAATCTATGATATGATATAATTTTCATAACAATCCTACAAAATCAGGGTGGGAGAGTGCTTACGATGCAATTTTCTATAAAATTAAGATTTCAAAGCGGCATTATTCTTTTAAAAATAGTTGTTTGGCACTTATTTTCACTTATATTTATTGTCCTAGATATTACTTATATAAACTTTTGATATGAATTTTATAAATATCTTGCAGCATTTGTACAGCGCGCTTACATTGTAAGTTACTTTAGAATTGACATTTCTAAGGGACAAAAATAATTGATCTGCCCTGATTTTCGAACTCGTTTGAGACATTGCTGATTTAACCTTTGATATAAATTTTTATAAAAAAGCTGGCAAGAATTTCACACATGAGAGCGCGTACAAGACCGTACATGAGGAGGACAACACGCATGACGGTTGATTTAATATCCTTTTCTAAACAAACATGAATGCATATACATACATTCAGAATACCACAGTTGAACTCCAGTTATCCTATACCTGAGCCACAGTAGTATATATATTTTTTAGTGTGTGCCTAACATGCAGACATGCCAAATAAAACGTGAAAATTGCTTTTTGGAAGTTATCCTAGCTAAAAAAAGGAAATATTCTACCTCTAAAAAGGATTTTATCGATATCTTACGATAACAAGTAAGGGGTGATCAGGTGTAAGAATATAATCATTTACATTTAATGATTAAACTAAACAATGTTGAGGGTCTGGTGGGGGTATTCATTTCCTTGTTCGTTAGTTTATTTGCCATTGTTCTCTTTTCTTTATATTGTTAGTCATTATTCATGATATTTCCTGTTCTTTATTTCGAGATCCATTTTTTCTCTAATTTTTTTTTCGGCCATTATTCTACATTTTATTAACCTCATTCAGCCCCTCAATAATCGTCTGATTACGAGAAAGTCAAACAACGTTTATGAACAGTAACATGAAACTATCGAAACATGTCTTTTTGACCACATAGGAAGTAGTTATTGTACTGAAAACAAAACGATGATATAATATTAGAATTATTTCGATTTTTTTTAACCTATTTACTGTTTCATCCATCACATACATATCATTTCTCAGATCTACATCAAGTAAAATTGAGAATGGAAATGGGGAATGTGTCAAAGAGACAACAACCCGACCATAGAACAGACAACAGCAGAAGGTCACCAACAGGTCTTCAAAGCAGCGAGAAATTCCCGCACCCGGAGGCGTCCTTCAGCTGGCCCCTAAACAAATATATATACTAGTTCAGTGATAATGAACGCCATACTAAACTCCAAATTGTACACAAGAAACTAAAATTAAAAATAATACAAGACTAACAAAGGCTAGAGGCTCCTGACTTGGGACAGGCGCAAAAATGCGGCGGGGTTAAACATGTTTATGAGATCTCAACCCTCCCCCTATACCTCTAGCCAATGTAGAAAAGTAAACGCATAACAATACGCACATTAAAATTCAGTTCAAGAGAAGTCCGAGTCTGATGTCAGAAGATGTAACCAAAGAAAATAAACAAAATGACAATAATACATAAACAACAACAGACTACTAGCAGTTAACTGACATGCCAGCTCCAGACTTCAATTAAACTGATTGAAAGATTATGTCTTCATCATATGAATATCAGGCACAATCCTTCCCGTTAGGGGTTTAGTATCATACCATCATAACATATATGAGAAGAACATAACCCGTGTCATGCCAACAACTGGTTTTTAAATAAATGTGTTTAGTGCCGATGCAAAGACCCTATAAGTGAATCAATATTAACGCCAAAATATGCAATCTTTAATGCCTTGACAACAGTATCGTAACTATATCCCTTCTTGATAAGTCTATTTAAAGGTTTTGTTAGTTTCAGAGGTGAATACTGACATTTTTGTGCTTTATAAAGAATATTTCCATAAAAAATTGGATGTGAAATACCTGAACGTATAAGAAGTCTGCATGTTGAGCTATATTTACGAATGATGTCCTTATACCGATGATAAAATTTAGTAAATGTTTTGACTAGTTTGTGATATCGAAAACCCTGGTGTAATAATTTTTCAGTAATACATAAATTTCTCTCGTTAAAATCTAAAACATTGTTACATACACGAGCGAATCGTACAAGTTGAGATATATAAACACCGTAAGATGGTGACAAGGGAACGTCACCATCTAAAAATGGATAATTAACGATAGGAAATGAAAAATCATCTCTTTTATCATATATTTTAGTATTAAGCTTTCCGTTAATGATATAGATATCAAGATCGAGGAAAGGGCAGTGGTCATTGTTAGTATTAGCTTTATTTAAAGTAAGTTTAACAGGATAAATTTCTTTAGTATACATACTGAAGTCGTCATTATTGAGAGCCAAAATATCATCCACATATCTAAAAGTATTATTAAATTTGTGTATCAGATGTTGTTTCGATGGGTCTTTACTGATTTTTGTCATAAATTGTAACTCATAGCAATACAAAAAAAGGTCCGCAATAAGTGGTGCACAGTTAGTCCCCATTGGAATTCCGATAACCTGACGATATACGGAATCTCCAAAGCGAACAAAAATGTTATCTAGTAAAAATTCAAGGGCATATATAGTATCAAAGCATGTCCAATTGACATAGTTTTTTTGTTTATTGCTACTAAAAAATGACCTAAAAGAGTTTGAACATATATATTCACATTCTGACTTTTTAAATGCCCATTTAATTAGGTGTGTGAATTTTTTCTTAATGAGAATGTGAGGCAATGTGGTATATAGGGTAGAAAAATCAAAACTTTGAACAGATTCCAAATCACCAATATATGCATGCAATTTATCAAGTACTTCCAACGAGTTCTTGACACTCCAAAAGTAATTAATTCCACTATTTTCGAAGGCCTTATTTGAACAATTTATTATCAGGTTTTTGATTGTACCAAGTGTACTGGTAAGAAGAATAGACAATTTAGTAGTGGAACAATGGCTTGAAGACGAAATGAATCTATATTTGTAAGGTATTTTGTGTAGCTTCGGAAGCCAATACATAGTTGGGACTTTCATTGTATTTGGTTCTGCTTGTAAAGCGGTAGCTAAAAGTTTATGTTTGTTACAGATGTCGTTTTCTGAAAATGGAGTCAGTTGGAATGTTGGTGAATTGGTGATTTCTTTTTTCAGAACCTCAATGTAAAATTTACGTCAAACAATAATAATATTATTAGCAGCTTTATCGGCCGGGACAAAAACAAATTCCTTGGCTAGTTCTTTTAGTTTATGTTTGATACGAGAAATAGGTTTATTGTGGTTATTGTTAAGAGTAAAATGTTCTTTAAAATGTTTAATACGTATATCAACTATGTTCATTACTGATTTAAAAAAAAGAGTCCAAAGATTTTTTGTCAGCTTTTTCCCGTTTTATCCATTTCAAACAGTAAGTATGGAGTGAGTCGTGGATGATATTACGACACTCATTCCAATTAATAATTGACGGGGGACGATATTTAGGTCCTTTTCTGAGGAATGATTTTAACTCTTGGTCTTGAACGATGTTAAGATCTCCTGTTATAACATGGGAAATGGGTCCATAAATGTATTCGGAATTACTGCAATTACATGAAGTAGGTGTATTTTCACTGATATTAACATCTTTACACAATTGGCTATAATTAAACACAAATTTCCGGATAGATTTCTTGTAAATATAACAAATAAGAGGGAGCTCAGTATTATCAAAATATCCCGGAATTTGTTCTTTAACAGAATGGTCGTTAAAAATACCGGCAATATTTACAAAATCAAAACCTTTATTGACATATTTAATTTTAATAAACTGTTTTTTATGATCTTCAGGGCGATCAATTTTAGGAAACAGTTTAGAATAACAATATGCCATTATAATTTGAACGATTTCATACTTAGGACTGCTATATGAAATATATATATA